CTCTCTTCCAAACAATCAGAAAGGTACTGAACACCTCTGGTTTATAAATCACTGATTTAAAAGAAACACAAAATACACCCCATTACAAGAACCAGAAATTATGTTTTTCTTCTCCTTTAACACACCAAGCACACTGCCTTAAACTCTTCAGTCATTAAGAGCTTTGGGGTTTCCTGGAAGCAGAAATGTCACCACAGCAGATGCCAAGAGCGAGTGTCACTACCTCAGAACCCCATTTTGTCACTGGATCGTAAGAGCTGCACCCTGTGCTCAAAAAGTGTGATTCATGATGCAAACCTTAAACTACATAGTAGGACAGATGACCAGCTGCACCTGCTATTAGCTCCAAACACAAAATACAACGTTTCTCAATATCAAGTTCTTTCTCCACATGGAGTCCTACCTTGGTCAGTTTTGGTTGCTGGCTTCCAGTTTTCAGCACTAATTACTGGCAGACAGACCTGCCCCTTTTCATCAATATTAGGGTGATAGATCTTTGTTTTAAATGTAATCTTCGGAGGTTTGAATGGATATTCTGCTGGAAAGTTGATTTCGATTCTGAAGGCTCCTTTGTCATATGGAGGATTGTCCTGCAGCAAGAACACAGAACACCTCAGATTTGGCACATTCCAATGGATACAATTTAAAAAAACACTCGCCACAGACTTCAATCTCTCAAATGACCTTGTTAAGATCCTTTTCCCCAACACAGATTATCACGTCTGTGTGTCAGGAGACATCACAACCAGTTTGCTAACGGAGAGGCAATAAAGCTCCTACAGTCTCTGCGTTCCCCCTGCCGTCGTTCCGAACGTCGGCCGACATTTTCACTGCTAAGAAAGTGCCCGATCCCATTTACTCCAGACTCAGAGTCCTTTCTAATAATGATTTTAATTCCTAACTGCATATTCCAAAAGCATTCTAACACTTGCCGACCTGACAAAGAAAATTGGTATCTCTAAATCTAGTTATTTTGTGCCTCACAACATGGTGGTATGAACCGAAAAACAATTTGATTTGTCAGATTACCCCACATGTTCCGAGAACCTTTTTGCTCTAGCTGACTGCAGAAAAATTTGCTGAGCAGTCATTTGTACTAAAGATAGATATTCACTGCATCTGCTGATGAGAACATGCTGAATTTGTATGCAGTTTTAGCACCAGCTCTTATCAGATCACTTTTGAAGGAATATGATGAGAGGACTGTGAAGCAAGCAAAGTAATTCTTCATGGTGAAACATGGGAAAAAATGATGCCCAGCATCTCATTTAGAAAACCCGTTTGGCTATCAATATTGCTTTAAATGCTTGGCTG